CTTTTGTTTATGAATGAAACTGGGAATCGATAACTTCTTAGCGCACATAGTTTGTAAACTTCCATTTTGAATAGTTGTCATGTAAAAATATAGAACTTACTGGAACGGTATAATCGGACTAAATGTTTTATTCATCTCAGATCAGTATGGGACTCAGAAAGCACTGTCTGTTCTCCTACCAGTAATTACATTAAAATACATAAGCATGGACTGCGCGTCACTCACATATGGTATCTATCACAGCTCGAAAGGGAATCTGAAAGCTACACAGAGAAGTAAAATATAAAATATATAATATTCCAAGCAAGTCCTCTATCAACGTATTCACCAAATGTGGCCGTTGGTAATAGAAGCAGCCTCACTCTTAATCCTTTCGTGGGCTCAGTGATGACCACATTTTGTGTTTATGGTCAAATTATTATAGCCTGGAGACTTCACAAATGCAAATGTGCTATAACTTCAGTGAATCAATCTTTCTGGTCCTCTAAGTTTAGTTCCTGCCTCCCCCCCCCCCCCACACACACACAAAAAAAGCCATTCAAAGTAAAGGTAAGAGGTTTTGCTCACCGCCTATATTTTTCTCAGTTTCAAAAGATGATTAAGGCAGACTCATGGAAAATTTGACGTTTGAGTCAAAGAGAAAATGGGCATCAAACTGTTTGTCATCTTCATGAAAAGCAAAGTATTGCTCAGATTTTGAGCAACACAGGACTGGGGCCATAGCTCAGCGGTAGAGCCTGAGCTCAGTCGTGGAAAGAGCGGGCGCATTACCCAGTGCCCAAAATAAAGACGGTAAGACAAGGCAGCAAACACAGCAACCTCTACACCATGCACCGAGACTGGCTCTGAACTGTCGTCTACCATCTCAGATTCTCATACGTATGTCAAAGAAAAGCTCATAGACACTAGTATAGACAATGGAAGAGATGCAGATATAATGTCGCCAAGGTAACAAGTTTTTTGTTTGTTTGCTTGATGGAAATGGATGGGCTGCAATGAAAGTCTAGTTCTCAAATCTATTTCATAGAAAACCTGCACTACGAAAAGCACTGGCCTAAGGATAAGCACACAACTCAAACAGACTGAGCTGCACATCTAGGAGTGACCGATTTGCTAAACTGTCTCATGACAAGCAGAGGATTAAGAGTTCCTTCAGCAAATGGTGCTAGAATATATATGCCAAACAATAAAACAAAGGTAGTCTGGACCGTCCAGCATCAGTAAAAATTAATCTCAAATGGATCAAAGACTAAGATGTAAGGCCTAAAAGAATAAAAATGCTTTAAGAAATAGCAACACGAATATCTCTGAACTTTAGTGAAGGCCAAGAGTTTTATACCATCAGAGTCATGAGCTTTATATGCCGGCACGTGCCTGCAATCCTGGCTCTCTGGAGGCAGAGCAGGAATATCCCAAGTCTGAGGACAGCTTGGACTACATAACAAATTTCATGCTAGTCTGTGCTACATACAAAGGGAGAGTCAGAGACAGGAAGGGAGGAGGGAACGGAAGGGAACCTTTAAAAGAAAAAAGAACATGAACTGGACTTCATTATAATCAAAAGTTTCTGACCATTAAGAATATCATTAGTAAAAACATTACACATATATAGTTTTCTATATTGATGTAATTTAGAATTAATTAAAATTTACATCGTATCACTGAGGGATATTGCATTGGCAAGTTTTACGACAACTTGACACAAGCTAGAATCACCAGAGAAGAAGGAGACTCAACTGAGAAAATTGCCTACAAAAGAAATTACATCTTACATTGCTGTAGGTAAATTTGAGGGCATTCTCTTAATTAGTGATCTATGGGGGAAGGCCCAGCTCATTGTAGGTGGGGCTACCCCTGAGCTGGTGGTCCTAGGTTCTGGAAGGAAGCAGGCTGAGCAAGTCGTGGGAAGCAAGCCAGGAGCAACACCCCTCCATGGCCCCTGCATCAGCTCCTGCCTCCAGGTTCCTGACCTGACCTCCTTCTGTGGTGAACAGCGTTGTGGAAGCATAAGCTAAGTAAACCCTTTCCTCCCCACATGGCGTTTGGCCACAGTGTTCCATCAGAGCAACCATGACCCTAACCAGGACACACGCAGAAGAGAGACTTCATTGAGAAAGTTAACGAACACAGTCAGAGATTAGGTAGTGGAGGGAATGTGTGCAAATCTTACACACACACACACACATAGAAAGAAAGCATAACAACCCAATATAAAAGCAGACAAAAGATTTGAACAGTCATTTCTCTAAAGAAAGTCTAGGAGTGGCTGCAGACATGCAACTAGATGTGATCTGCTCTGAAAACAACACTAAGAAAATCACACATCTAATTAAACACCATCAGTGCTTAGAAACAAGCATAATGTGGTTGTCATTACACAAAACCAACAGTACTTCCATATATTGTTAGCAAATAATCTGGAAAGGAAATTTTAAAAAATTCTATTTGTAAAGGCACAAAAAGAACAACAACAAAAATCTCTTGGGAATAAACTTAACTCTATAGTACAAGAGTGAGACCCTGCAAACAACACATTGCTACTCAAAGAACCCAGACCTTTGAAAAACATGGAGATACATTCCATGTCACGAGTTCATGAACCAACACTCTTAATACTGAGACAGCGTCACTGTGATCGCTATCAAAGGGCTGGTTCAACATTCAAAATGCAATTAAACCACAGCTCGGCTACTTTTCTTATACCGCCCAGAAACGGCACTACCGACAGTGGGCTGGGCTCTCATTCACCAATTAGCAGTCAAGAAAATGGCCCCGCAGACACGCCCTCAGCCAATCTGATGGAGGCAATTTCTCAGTGGAGGTGCCCTTTCCCTGTGTCTCTAGTTTGTGTCAAGGTAACAAAAACCTAAACAGTGTAATTCTATCTGTGTTAGGGTACATTATCACAGGCCACAGAACAGACCAACCACACAAAAAGAAAAAAATCAGAATATACCACATTAAGACTGAACCTAATATAAAGTTCAGACTTCAGTGAATTACATCAGTACTAACAGACGTGCCAAACTGATGTAAGACATAAGGAATAACAGGGAAAGAGGCAGCGGCAGTTACACAGAAACCGCTCCATTCTTTCATAGCCAAACTTACTCCCTGCAGAAGTCTACTAGTTTTAAAATAAGTAATGATAATTAACAAAATCAAATAATGACTATAAAGTCTGATAGTCACAGGACTGGGGCGAGGGCAGTCTCAGCACTCACCGCTGCGCTCGGATTGGCTGGGATGGAAGCTGGATGAGGTTTTGGTGAGAGCAGCAGCCCTACCCAGGCTATTAAACTCTGGGCAGCTTCCTGACAACCCCTCATTTGGCTGCTCCCCAGCCATTGTAGTTACAGTAAATAAGACACCACTACTAGCATAAGGAATTATCTTCCTTATCAGCAATTTGCTCTAAGTATAGGCTCTGGGAAGCCTTCCTTTTAGATTCAAAAAGCAAGTAATTGAGTTAAACAGATTTTCAAATGTTCCTGAAACCTAAATCCTATTTCTCCCTTGTTAACAGCCCTCTCTCCCAGTCTCTCCACCACCGGAAGAACTGAGTTCCATCCCTGCTTCCAAGCAGCCCAGTCTATGACTCCACACTGGCCTGCCCTCTCTACCCTGACCCCCGTGAAAACACACTACCCCACAGCCATTTCACATTGAGACCTCACAGCCTGGAAGCCACTGTCATCAGGGTGTTTCAGATGTGACAGTCACCTGACCCACCAGCTAATCTGTCTGAAAAGTGAAACAGGAAATGCTGCCTTAGGACTAATTTGGGGGCAGAAGTTCAAGCACACAAGTACATGTATGTCTGCTTATTTGATTGTGTTAGAATGCATGCATGCCTATGTGTATCTGTGCATGTATGTGTATATATGTATATATGTGTGTACAGGTATATGTGGATATATGCATATGCTATTCTAGGAATACTTGTATGTGTATATGGATTTCTGTGTACATATATGTTCATACCTATGCATGTATGTTCATATGTGTGGATATTCATGATATCCATCCTCCCCAACTTCTGCTCCTCCCTGTATCTTTCTGATTTCTCTAATCAACTTATTGCTCCTAAAGTTGCCTCCAGCAGCTCCAGCTGAGCAAACTCATAAGCAGAAAAGAGTTCTTTTCAATACTTTTCAGTGACTGTACTGAGGCCTCCAAACCCTGATCATTGTGACCATGACTGGACAGGCCTAAGTCACATGCCCAGCGTGAGTCAGTGAGTCCTCTCCTCCAGAGGCTAACAGTGTGGCCTGGGGGGGGGGGGTAATACCCTGAGGGAAAAGATTCATTAAGGATGCAGGGCGAGCAAGGCCAAGCCAGGCGCTCAGACTGCTGGATCCTCCTTCCTAGTGACAAGTTTTCATCGTTCACACAGAGTACCCCACCACTGAGTACTGTCCCTGGACATGCATGCCTCAGAAAGAATCCTACTTTGTTTCATTCTGATACACAGAACTATGATCACACATTCATCTAAATGCTACTGTTTTGGGGGCATTTCCTTTCTATACGATCATCTTAATGTCAAATGTACAAATTACTAAAACTGAATGGGTCAGTAGTTTTTGTTGGGGCAGAAAAGCAAGTATTACAATTTTGTCAGACAGTGTGAACAGTCAAGGACCCCAGGAGAAACGAGCCACCCTTCCAAGTATGAACCTGGATAAGTTATATAGCCTCGAATGAGGACGCAGTTTTCTTCCTATTACAAACCCAAGAGTAGTGGGGCCGATTTGGGTGGCCTCTGCTCATGTCTGTACTGAAGATCTTCCTCTATGTGAGGGAGAAAAGGAAGAAGAAAGAGGATGAATGAGACAAAAGGACAGAAAAGGAAAGAAAACAACACACTATGTGGAGAAAGCAATCAGGATGCCTCGCTGACATGGATCTGGGAATCTCTCAATTAACGGGTGATGACCATTTAGGATTGGCTCCAAATACTAGAAAAAGAACAGAACCACATTCCCAGCCAGACCCACCTCTCTAACACCAACCTGGGAGCACTTGAGTCGGCGTCCTAGTCAGCTTTTCACAGGGGCTTTCGTTTATGGATTTTCCATCCAGCAAAGGTCTCTAGTCCAGGGCTGGGCAGATCCGACCACAGCATGCTGGGATAGAGAGCACAGCAGCTCCCCCACAGACGCTCCAACCTGGAGGGGCAAAGGCAGGGAGCCATTACTAGGTCTGATATTCTCATTCATATACATTCTCCCTCTCTCTTCCTCTCTCTCTCTCCGCCATAACCCAAGCAAGACCTTCCAAAGGGTTAAAATCCTCAATGAACAGAAGCCACTCTTGTAGGTACGCTAAACACAAGCTGGGCCTACTGTGGTGAAGGCTGCAGCATTGACTCATTCCTGAGAAGGGTCTCTGACCGGTGATGCCCTCTGTCTGTGGAAAGTTTTCAAGCCAGATGTTTTAATTAACCACGGAAAGTACAAGCTACAACTAAAATTTCATGAACACACTGATCTGCCCCATGGAAAACCACAAGAATGTTCTGGCAGGACCAAGTCTGAATTCTTGGGACACAGCGGCCTGGAGTCATTCCCCTTAGGAACTCAAACAGAAAATTAACTTGCTCAATATGTTTCAAAAAAAGCAAAATGAAACCCAGATTTAATCTCAATCAAACACGAAAAACATTTCAGAACTTCAAAGAACACCACAAAGACACCAAAGTAGAAACCACAAAGCAAGCTTTGTGTCCTTTAGTAATCAGAATGTATTTTCATTGCCGTGTGAATAGTGCCACAATTTTATGAGCTGAACAACAAAAGAGAAACTAAACATCTTTTGTTTCCTAATAGGGGAAATTATATACAAAACCAATCCTCAATAAATAAGCTATAAGTATTATCAAATGTATATTGTACCCATAAGTATTACCAAATGTATACTGTATTCATAAATATTACCAAATGTATACTATATCCAAATGTACATAGTATCCTTAAGTATTATCAAATATATACTGTATCCATAAATAATATCAAATGTATACTTTATTCATAAATATTATCAAATATATACTGTGTCCATAAATATTGTCAAATGTATACTTTATTCATAAAAATCATTAAATAGACACTGTATCCATAATTATTATCAAATATATATTATATCCATAAATATTACCAAATGTATACTGAATCTCCATAAAAGCAATCTATAACTACTCAACCACTACAGAGCCACACCTTAGTGCCAGTGATCAAAGACACTCAGACAGTTGGTATTAAAATAACTGATGCAGAATAATATCGGGGCCAACAATTTCCGCTCCCAAAAAGCAAATGAGGCAATCTTCTGACAGCAATTCTTGAGCAGTAAGAGCTAAGAGACTAAGAAGTCTTCACATGTTAGCGTTAATTATACTAGTAGCTATGACAACATCTATACATTCTAAATACTGAAAGCCTATGCAAGGAGGAGTGGGACCAATGCTATTCTCAGAGATCAGTCTACGATTCTTTTTCTGTAGTCAAAACAGTATCCATCAACCCCTCACAAATATGCCAGAAATAGTATCATATTAATCTCTACCTTCACCTGAAACTTCAGTCCCCAAAACCAAAGAAATCAAGATAATAAATCATATAAGCATGGACTAGCCCATGGATAGTCTAAAGACATCAAACATGAATAATGGCATTTCTAGAATGTATTTCTATTTCCCTTTTGATGCTTTGCAGTTTATATACAATTAACATATACGTTTTCCACAATTATAATTTTTTAGGGTTTCTTTAAGAGTATGAGAATGCAAAACAAGACTGGGATATCTATCTATATTCACCTTCTCTGTAGACTGCCTTTTATCAGAATAAAGGCTAATAAATGAAGGATTATTCACCTGAACTCAGAACAAACTGGTCGTCTCTGATACAAAAATTAAAAATATTCTAAAACCTAAAATGCTTTCAACGCCAACATGGCGCCATAAGTGGAAAATTCCATGATATGAAACTTTGTTTCATGTAGAAAATTCTCCAAAACAATGCATCAATTTGCCTTCAGGGTACATGTATATGGTGCCATGAGACAGAGATTAAATTTTTGTTTATACTTGGATCTTACCCTCAAGATATCTCATTATATAAATATCTCAAAATCAGCACAAAAAAAGATATCTGAAAGACTCCTGGTCCCATGCAGCCCACGGAAGGGTATCACTGTGCAGCTCTTCACTCAGAAATTAAAAACCCCAGTGTGCAGTAACACTTCAGGCTGACAAACAATACTGTCCTAGAAACGTTTCTTGCTCTGTTCCACAAAGTTACCACAGATAGAAAATTCTACCCAAATTTTGTTCTCCGTAGCCTGCCACATGCCCATCCCTTAATTAAAAGCCCCTCCTAGGAAGAGTTAACAGTTTCACAGTACCAAGGTCTTTAGCCACCCTGGAGGCTCTAAGCATCCCAAGAAACAAAGGGCGCAGTGGCAGAATCTTAATCCTAGGGGCCTTGGTCATTGCACCCAGAGAGCCCATGTCCAGAGAGAAGAGAGCCCATGTCCAGAGAGGTCAAATGCTTTTCCTCAGCTATACTCCAAGGAAGCCGGCATCTGAGTCTAGCTCACTCTGGGTGCCTCAACTCTGACCCTGTACAAAGCTCCTTCTACCATTGAGATACCTCAGCATTCACCCTCAGAAGTAACACATGTATGAGTCACACACACCTGCTAAATCTGTATCAGCAAAATCAGAACAGACAGGAATTTGTTCCACTGAAACCGAAATTCAGGCAGGAAGAAACGAGAAGACTCGACTCCAGGCTTTAAAAACCACAGCTCTGCTCACAGTGCTCTCAGAGAGGGAACAATGGCTGTACTGTGCACTGGCCGCAGGTGTCCTCAACAGAAACTGCTTGTCAAGCTGAGAGCTCTCTGGCCTCGTGGATAACAGCGTAATTCCGCCCAGTTCAAAGCAAGACGAGAGGTTTTCAACAAGATAAAACTATGCTGCATGACACTACCTGCAAGAGACAGGAAAGACGCATGCTCGCCCGTTTTAGACATCCGTGATTCGTGGTACCACGTCCTGAGGTGTATCTCTAAAATCATATCGGTCTTCAGGGAAAGACATTAGCAGGTTGGGAAAGGGGGAGGGAACACGTCTGTATAAACGAAAATAACAGAATGATCTCTGCGGTCTCACAGAAGGAGTAGCTTTTCCTTTCCTCCAGAATTATTTCTCTGAAACAGGACCGCCTGTGCTCCTGCTAGCTGCCCACCTACAAGGTCCACTACACATGCAGCGGCTGCATGAGAGTCTCACCAATGTGACTGGCCTGAAGAGCAAGGGGGCAGGCAGATGGCAATGACCAACTAAGAACCGCTCACCGAAAGGCCTATAATGAGGCCTTCCCAGCATCCTCTCCCCACTGTGTCACAGGATAACAAAGGCCTCAACTGTGAGTGAGCCGCACCAGGGATGATGTGGCCCAGCTTTGTCACAGCCCAGCAAAGCACAATGAGTCTCCCTTCACTGGGAAGCCAGCGGGGTGGGGAGCTTTCTACCCCAAACTGCTCTTAACATCTCCACCATCCATGTCCATGGCTGCACCTAAAGAGGATACAGTGGGGACCATTAGCTGTTTCCTCACTGCCTCAGTTCTAATGCTAACGTCCAATGTCCACACAAGCAAAAGGACTGAAACGCTTGCTGATGTTTTCCAGCGACACCAGAGCTCTGTGACAAGTCACATTCCAGTGATGTCCTACAGTCATTTGTCAGAGATGACACCGTTTAAAGTTAGCAGTCTGGTCAGAACTGACCTAGCAACCACAAACTGCACAGAATCGTGGTTGACGCTGGCGTTAGCAAATGATCTTTCTCAGCAGATGACTAAGGAAAATGAGAAGGGTGTGAGATAAGGCGCCGCGAATGCTTGCGGTCTTGGTTGTGTGTTGTTTGGTTTAGGGGCTGCAGCTAGCAGGCTTTGATGAAATGTGCACCCAGGAAGTGCTACCCTCTGAGGGCCTGGATGTTTGACCAGTATTTGTCTCTTCCTTGCCTCGTGTTCCATGGAAGATTTCTGCTTCGTGGGCCAGATTCCAGAAATGTCAGCAGAGCCAATTTATCACTGAGAAATTTCTATCTCAAAATGACCAGGCACAGAAGACCAGGAAGAATAGCTGGAGAACAGTCCTCTCGGAGCTGCGAGAGTTTGATTTCATGAACTCAGACTGTGACCTTGGGTGATTGGCTCACTTGACGAGCAAGTCTGATTCAAATCCCCAGCATCAGGCCAGGCGGTGGTGGCGCACGCCTTTAATCCCAGCACTCGGGAGGCAGAGGCAGGCGGATCTCTGTGAGTTCGAGGCCAGCCTGGTCTACAAGAGCTAGTTCCAGGACTGGAACCAAAAAGCTATGGAGAAACCCTGTCTCGGAAATAAAAAAAAAAATCAAATCTGCGGAAAGGCTACTTGTGGCCATGTTCATCACAGTCACAGTGCTGTGCGGGACAAAGACAGGATGGACGCCACCAATCTAGCTCCAGGTTCAGCTAGAGAATGATACAGCAGGGTACCCAGTCTCTTTCTCTGGCCTCTGCATGAATAAAGGGAAACGTGTACATACACCACACACGCACAGACACTCTAAACAAATAGAACAATTTAGGTTATCGGTATTGATAATTTACATTTTCAATATAGGGAAAGAATAAAAGCTGTTTGAAAGCAGGACTAGTTTAAATCCCTGCCATTATCATATTATCACAGGTTCTTACCACAGGTAACCCAGGGGACTACTGTGCACGCTCCACACTGGCACCCAGCAGGGCGTGTGGTCAGTGATGAAGACATGCTATTTGGAAGACGCTTCATGTAGAACTCTCTCTGCCATAGTTTAAAATAAAGAGGGTCTGGACTAGAGAACGCAGAGGGAAACTTCTGTTAACTACTGCTCTGAGGCTGTTTGGGAAGGGGTGCAGAAATCAACAGAGTTAGAGCTTGTAATTCAAGCTCTGCTACATAGAACCCAAGACTTCTGAGAGAACTAACTTGGCCTCCCTCATCCTTGGTTGCATTGTTCCTCAGACCAGGAAGATGCTATCAGCCAGCCAGGCTCTTGAAGGCACCAATTACTGGGACCAATTAGGAAGGCATTGTGGAATCTGTAAAGCACCATGACAACCAGCAACCA